AAGAGGCGGAGGTGCAACTGCTCCTCGCAGAGAAGAGGCCCCCCCCCGTAAGGCCACCAGACCAGCAGAAGCACGGCTGCGGTGGCCAACCCAACGACAGCATGCACTGCAGCTGTCACCTCTGTTCATCGACGACGCGTCTCCCGTCGCCGCAGAGCTTTCTTCGCTGGGCGGGTGCGGGGGCATGAGTGACTCGCAACCCAGACGCCAGAGCGCTCTCCGCTCTCCCCTCTCCGCGCCCGGCCGTCTCGCTCCACCCTCAGCGCGAATTATATTTTTGTTGAGATTGGCCCCTTAATGCCAAATGCCAATGATTGGGTACTGTAAGAGCGGGGCCGCACACTGCTCGGTACCCCCCCCTGCACATCTAAAGCCATGCTCGGGACCCCCCCCTCAGCAGCAGACCGCTCTGCTGCTGGGGGGGTGCTGGCCGATCTCCACGTATCTCTCTCGTGTCTCTCGCGCTCGGAGCGAGGCGCGTGTGAGCTCGAGGAGTCGTGCTGGCCGGGCGCCGCCCATACCCCAACACACGCGGTGTGAGAAAACACGCGCCGACATATGACCCGCGCGACCGACATCGTGGTCATCTAACATGGTCATGGAAAATTCCGCCCGCCGCGTGACGCGTTGAGGCGTGAGCTGCGTTGGGGTGTTGGGAAAAAGAGAGAGAAAAGGGACCCCGGACGCATCGAATCAAACACGACGCCACCCCAAGCGCGCGCGAGTGTACCACGGCATGGAACGGTGTGCACTCTCTCGCACACACACACGACACAGAACAACGAGACTCCGGTGGTCACGGGGTAGGAAAAAGGAAGCGTCCGCCCCACTCAATGGCGCATCCATGTGGCGGCGACTCAACGGCGGACTCAAAACAGCAGCAGGCACAGGATGACAAAGGAGCCGAGCAAGAGGAGCAGCCGCGAGAGGAAGGCCTGCTGCACCTGCTCCGGCGAGAGCTGCTCGCCGCCCGGCTCGTCGCCGACCGCAGACGCGTTGAACTGGAAGCCGAGCACGGTGGGCAAGAAGCCGAGGCCGGGCGCGCCCGCGCCTGCTTGCGCGCCCGCCGCCGCGAGCGGCGGTTGCGCCGCCTCCGAGCCGCGGGGCTGGCCAGACTGCCGACCGGACGAGCCGGACGAGGCAGGCCGCTGGCCGGGCGGCCTCGGAGGCAGCGCCTCCTTTGGCGGCGCTCGCTGGCGCGGGTCGACGCGCGAGCGCTGCCCGCGGCCGTACACCGGTATCATGCGGTCGGACGAGATCTCGGCCTTGCAGATCGGGCAGAAGGCGCCGTCCGACTCTCTGCGCAGCTCGAGCCACTTGTAGATGCACGGCCAGCAGTACAAGTGCCCGCACATCGTGATGACGGGCTCGGTCGCGGTGTCGAGGCAGATGTTGCAATCGAAGAGGTCGCTCGAGGACGGCTTGCCGCCAGAAGGCGCTCTCGCATGGCGCGTGAGCAGGATTGGGAGAGCGGAGGCCGGCGCCGGCGACGCGAGCAGCGCCGCCGATAGTGCGCCGTCGTCCCTGCTGCTGCTGCCGCCGCCCCCGCCGCCGCCGCCGCCGCCGCCGACGTCCCCACTGCTGGGCGTGCCGCCGACGCCGCCGCCCCCGTCGCGCGCCGCTGAGCCTCCGCTCATATCCGCTTGGGTTCTGCGCCGGCCACAGAGGCCCGCCCACTCTTAGGATTTTATTATCTCGTTGTTTCTCTTCTCCTTGCTAATTGTCAGTTTCTTTATTTATTTATCCCCCCCCCTGCCGACTCCGTGATCTTTGACGGGAGCTCTCAGAAATAAAAAGAAAAATAGCTCGCGCACACAGACACTGCACGACAAGGGCGGAGCACCTGTGGTCAAGACAAAAACTTCACCCGGCGCTTGAGCCCTTCGCTCATCCCGGCGACGAGAGTGGGCCATGTCGTGGGCGCGCGAGCGCTGCTGCGACGGCAAGTCCTATTGCTACTACTGCCCGATGTGCTGCACAGCCCTCGGGGCGCCCGACGGCGTCACCGTCCCGTGTCTGCAGCTGCCTCTGCGTGTCTCCGTGCTGCTCCGGGATGGACGGCAGCGCTCGACGGCTGTTCACGCAAAGGTTCTCGCGCCCGACTGCTGCGAGCTGTACGACTGCTTCAGCCACGAGAGCTGCGCGGCCGTCCCCTCCTTCGACCCCGCGACGACCGTCGTGGCCTTCCCGTCCGAGGGCGCGACCACCTTTGCGGACCTCGACGGTCTGGCGGCGGTGGACCACCTAGTGCTCTTGTGCTCGCCGTGGCAGCAGGCGCACAAGCTCGCCGCGCTGCCGCAGGTGCGCGGGCTGCGCCACGTCCGACTCGCGCAGACCGGCTGCACCTCCGGCTTTTGGCGCGTGCCGCCGCACGACGGCAGCAGCGCCGGCACCCACCTCGCCTCGATTGAGGCGCTCACGCGGCTCCTGCACGAGTTCACGCTGGCGCGACGCGGAGTCGAGGGCGGCGGCGAGAAGAGCGGCGGCGGCGGCGGCGGCGGGCACGGCGGCGGGGTCAGCGAGGGTGGCAGCGGTGGCGAGGATGGCACGGGTGGTGGTGGTGGTCAGGGCGAGGGCGGCGGCGAGGAGGGCGGCGGCGGCAGCGAGGGCGGCGGCGGCGAGGGCGTTGGCGGCGAGGGCGTTGGCGGCGAGGGCGGCGGCGGCGAGGGCGGCGGCGGCGAGGGCGGCGGCGGCGAGGGCGGCGGCGGGGGCGGCGGGGGCGGCGAGGGCGGCGAGGGTGAGTGCGGGAGACGAGGGCGGCGCAAGCTGGCTTGCTGAGGTCCGCGCGCCTGAGAGTAGGCGAGGGTCTCTCCTCCGGGCTCGACCAGCTGCTCTTCTTCTTCCGGGCGATCCAGAGCCGCGTCGTACAGCACCGCGGCGGCCACAACAGCCGGTGCGGCCCCAGCGGCCCGCTGACTGACGAGGGCCGCGAGGCGTTCCGTGCGGCCAAGAGCCAGCGGGTAGGCGAGGGTCGAAGGCGCTCCAATCTCTTGCGCCAGCGGTATGGGTCGGAGCTGCCAGCGGAGAGCGGGGAGGCGGAGCCAGGGGCGGAGCGGGAGGATCAGTCCTAGAGAGGCGAGCCGGGTGCGGTCTCTCTCGAAATGCATCGTGCTGCGGCGAGTCGATGGTGCCGCCAAGGCGGCGGCGAGGTGGGGCGCGCCGTCTGTGGGGCGGCGGCGAGGAGCGGCGAGGCCGAGGCGCGCGCCGGGCGCTACGTTTTGGGCCGGCGACAGCGGCTGTTTGCTGAACCGTTGGAGAGCGACCGGTTGGCGCGCGACGCTGGCGACGGCCTCGAGATTCGCGCCACGCGCCCCAAGGAGGGCATCAACGCCGAGGCACACGACGCCGCACTGTCTGTTCTCGCTTGACTGTGGCGGCCGCGGGTTCTGCCGGCGCCACACTTTGGCGGTTTGCTCCTTTGCTGCGGCCGCTGCCTCCCGGCGCCGACGGACTGGGAGCTGTGGAGATGGGCTGCGCAGCCGCCGGCGGAGGAGGGTATGTGTGGGTGTGTGTGTGTGTGGGTGAGGGGGGGTGCGGCCCGTCTTCGGCCTTGCCGCCCCTATGCCTTGCTGCCGCTCTCCCTCCCGGCCGGCGCTTGCTCGAGCCCGCCGCTGACGGCCGAGGCGCGCGCGCGGCAGCTGCGCCGCTCGGCGGTGCGAGTCATCGCGAGGACCTACTCGGAGGGGCCGAGCCGGAGGGGGAGGATCACCCCGCGATCACCCGAGATGACCCGAGATCAGGCTGCGCGAGATGGGCGTCGAGCCGGAGGAGGTTGCGGTGCCCGCGGAGGGCGGCGTGGGGCGACGGGCGAGGCGGGCGAGGGCGGCGCGACGGCGAGGCGGCGGCGTGGGGCGACGGCGAGGAGGAGGGCGTGCCGCACGTGAACGAGGGCGTGCAGCTGCAGATCTGAGATCACTCCGCACTTGCACGAGCAACACCACCTCGTCTCGCGCCACTCGATCACCGGCCAGCTGCTCACGCACGACTACCAGACGGTGGAGGAGCTGCCGCCCGAGCTGGGCCTCAACGTCGTCTCCCAAAAGTGGGGCATCTCGGCCGAGGCGGCCGCCGCGCTCAAGGCCGAGCGCGAGGCCAAGGAGGCGGCGCGGCGGGCGGAGGCTGCTCGGCAGCCCGCCTTCAAGAACCCCCTCTGCCCCAGCCCGTCCTCGCGCGGCGCCAGGCGGGCCGACAGCGCCGCCGAGTGGCCGACGCCGTGACGGGGAGTTCTCTCCCAAGCTCCTCTCCCGCCCGCGCGGGGCTGTCAAGGGCTGCGCGCTGAGCGTTGCACGTCCCCCCCTCCCCCCCGCGTGCACACACACACACACACACACACACACACACACACACACACACACACACACACACACACACACACACACACACACACACACACACACACACACACACACACACACACACACACATGAAAGGCAGGGTGCGGGCGCGCGATTTCTTTTTTCAGAAACGGAGAGAGAGAGAGAGGAGAGATATTTTTAGCAATACCAAACTTTGTTGTGTTGTTTTGCAGAAACGGTTGATGGATGATGAAGGAAACAAATCACAAAACTATCTAACACGGACGGTTCAACGGGTCCCATGAGCACGAAAAGAGAGCACAAACAAACAAAAAGAGGGAACCCCGACGCAGAAGAAGAAAAACTCCTGGAGGCAGGGCAACCCAGAGAGGGTGTCCGAGTGACGGTGCTAGCTCAACTCCCCAAGAAGAAGACAAGAAGCGTCAAGATAAAAGAAACTCTGGCGTAATGTCTTCACGTAAACGCACAACCTCTTCACATAAACGCACCTGTGTCTTCACAGCAAGTAGCGACCCACAAATGCTGATGCCACCGCGTGGTTTGCCCCAGCCGCAGTTCATGTTCTGCACCTTCACGAGCATCCTCGCCGCGGCGACCACGCGCCAGAGCGTCTCAAGCCCAACAGTCCGCTTCGGCGGCCATCCTCCTCCCGGATCTTGCATGCAAGCCGGCGGCGGGTGGCGAGCGAACGACGGAGTCGCGGACACTTGTCGAGTCCCAACCAAGGATTCTGTCAAGACCGAGGCCCCGCCGGATGCGGCGTCCGCCCCTCTCACGACCCTTGAGGCGTCCATCGGCCTCCTTGCCCCGCTCGGCCCGCCAACGACCAAGCCGGCGGGCGGCGGGCGAGCGGCAGCGCCCCGGCACCTCCTCTTCCTCCAGAGCGACTGGGCCGTCGATGCGCGTCTGAAGGCCGCGCTGGGGGAGTTTGCGTGTCCTGCAGAGCTCCGCTCCACCCGGATCTCCGACTCGAACGCGGTCGAGTCCGATCGCTTCTCCGTCTCAAGCGGCTACGCCGACCGGCAGCGCGCCTGCGCCTCCTTTGCCCGCGCCAACTCCTCGCTGCTCGAGGACGAGCTGAATCGGGCGGATCAGGTATTGGCGACCCGCACTGCACTCCCCACGCCGCTGCATGGGCTGCCAAACACCGTCACCCCTCTGGCTATGCCCACCCGCGCGCTGCCCTGTCTGCCCACCCGCGCGCCGCCCTGTCTGCCTGTTTGCCCTGTCTGCCCTGCATGAACACTCGCTCCTTTGGCCGCTCCAGGTGCGCACCCGCCACCCCGCCACGGCGGGAGGTCACCTTGCGCTCGAGTCCGAGGAGCCACCAGGCTGCTTGGCCGCCTCTGGCAAGGCCCAGGCGTCGCTGCCCATCCCGGCCCAGTCTGGGTACACTCTCATCGCGGGCGCCGTCCGGATCGAACCGGACTCCGCCAGCCCTTCTCTTTTCTCTGGTCTCACGGTCGCTGCCGGGCAGCTGGTCGAGACGAGCCTCGTGCGGGCAGGAGCCTTTGTGCTACTCAGCAAATTCACTTCGCTCAAACCAGCCGCCGTGGCCACCGCCGCGCTGTGCTTCGGGAGGGCGGCCGCGTCTCCCACGGATCCACAAGGCGAGGTGCTGCTGCAGCCGTGTGGCTGCGAGGAGGATGGCGTATTGTTCTGTACTTTTGACGCCGGCTTTTGCGAGCCTTGTATCAACCATGCCAACCGAGCCTCCTGCTACGACGATGGTCTCCCTGACACTGGTGCCCATGATTGCGCTAAGCGCTGCTTTGATCTGCCGCCCGCACCGCCACCAACGCCGCCGTCGCCGCCGTCGCCGCCTTCACCGCCTCCTTTACCGCCGCTGCCGCCGCTGCCGCCGCTCTCCCCCGGCTTCGATGTCGCCGCGGCGAGCGAGGACAAGCTCCGCTCCCTGATCACGGAGGCTGCTGCCAACATCTCAATCTACCTGCCGCCCGGTGCGCACTTCAAGCTGTTCAGCCAGATCAGCTGCACCTCCACCATCAAGGTGACCGTCGCCAGCAGCGGCGAGGGCTCGACGCTCGACGGCCAGGGAGAGACCAGGCTCTTTTACCTCTCGGGCGGCTGCAGCCTCACCCTGCGGGGGCTGAACCTCGTCAACGGGAGAGGGGCGGCTGGGTGCGCCTGGGTCGATGATGAGTGTAAGAAGGAGGGGGAGGAGTACGAGGAGTACGAGGGCGAGGAGTACGAGTACGAGTACGAGTACGAGGGGGAGGAGGAGGAGTACGAGGGGGAGGAGGAGGAGTACGAGGGGGAGGAGTACGGCGGCGTTGTGCACGCGAACAACGCAGGCGACATCGAGATCATCGACTCGACTATGACAGGGTGCTCGGCTGAGGTGCGCCGCGTAGCCTAGCAGCCCCGCCCATGGCAGCGGTGTGAGAGAGATCCGGATTCTGCAGTTTAGAGACGAGTCCCACCATCCGCTGCCCTCTGTCCTCGCAACCGCAGTCTGGCGGCGTCGTCTTCGCGTATGAGAGCGGTGCGGTCTCGATCATCGGCTCGACCGTGACGAGCTGCTCTGCTAATGAGGTGCGCCGCGTAGAGCTAGCCGCCACCCCTGCAGCGCCGCACGGCAGCGGGGCGAGATATAGAGAGGGCCACGGCTGCCTCACCCCGGTCTCTCCTCGCAACCGCAGTACGGCGGCGTCGTCTACGCGGGTGGCAGCGGTGCGGTCTCGATAAGCGGCTCGACCGTGTCGGGCTGCTCTGCTGGCTATGTGCGCCGCGTAGAGCTAGCCGCCTCCAGCAGCGGCGCACGGCAGCGGGGCGAGATATAGAGAGGGCCACGGCTGCCTCACCCCGCTCTCTCCTCGCAACCGCAGAACGGCGGCGTCGTCTTGGCGGTTGAGAGCGGTGCGGTCTCGATAAACGGCTCCACCATGACGAGCTGCTCTGCTGAAGATGTGCGCAGCGTAGAGCTAGCCACACCCCTGCAGCGCCGCACGGCAGCGGGGCGAGATATGGAGAGGGCCACGGCTGCCTCACCCCGCTCTCTCCTCGCAACCGCAGGACGGCGGCGTCGTCTACGCGGGTGGCAGCGGTGCGGTCTCGATAATCGGCTCGACCGTGTCGGGCTGCTCTGCTGGCTATGTGCGCCGCGTAGAGCTAGCCACACCCCTGCAGCGCCGCACGGCAGCGGGGCGAGAGATAGAGATGGCCACGGCTGCCTCACCCCGGTCTCTCCTCGCAACCGCAGGAGGAGGGCGGCGTCGTCGCCGCGGAGGACAGCGGTGCGGTCTCGATAATCGGCTCCACCGTGTCGGGCTGCTCTGCTAGAGTGCGCCGCGTAGAGCTAGCCACACCCCTGCAGCGCCGCACGGCAGCGGGGCGAGAGATAGAGATGGCCACGGCTGCCTCACCCCGCTCCCTCCTCGCAACCGCAGTACGGTGGAGCTATAGCCACGTTTAATCGCGTCCTGATCGTGACCGACTCCACCGTCGCCGGCTGCAATGCCACGCGAGGCGGAGCCGTGTACGTGGGGTCGGGCTCAGCCAGCCTAGCCCGCTCCGCCATCTCCAACTGCATCGCCTCAGAGGCTGGCGGCGGCCTCTACTCGGCGGGCGGGCGCACCTCCCTGAGCGACGGCACCCTCATCAGCGGCTGCACCGCCCCGGAGGGTCAGGGGAGCTCCATCTTCCTGCTCGCTGGCGAGGTCTCCTACGCCCTCCCCGCCCCCGCCGGCCGCTGGCTGCCAAACGCGCGCTGCGAGGTGTACCGGGAGGCGTGC